GAAAGCGTCGTGCAGCCAGCAATTAGCTTATGAAGTGGTTGCTATAGGAGGGGAGGAGGAAGGGGGGCAAAGAAATTGGGGGATAAATGGCTCTAACCACACAGCTGCTTATTAAAGTTCAGCGTTCGTTGCTCAGAAAATGCTCAAAAATGCAGACTGAGGAGTGGCTGTTGCCTAGTCAGCTTGAGATAAAAGCTCAAATGAACTAGTTCATCTGCTCAATTCGTTGTGTTCTGAGCACACAATTACGCTAAATTGCTTATATTTCTTATACAGATTCGTTTTGCTTTAAAGTCGAACTGGAACTAGCTCATTATAGTAAGTTAGTGATAGAACTAGTTCATTAGTTACATATCCAAGCTTAGAAAGATCATGAACTACTTCATTTGCATAAATTTTGGTTCATTTGCCCAAACCAGTAAAGCTGCCAAGTTTTAATCTTTGGCTCATATGAACTAGTTCATTTGCATATACTCTTGGCAAACTAACTGTGTGGAAAGCTTGTGACTCTTCCGCTAAAACCTTTTGCCTAAACTAACTAGTATGCGAAATATCATATTGTTCAACTAAACTAGTTCTTCGTTCTAGCTCCGTTTTAGGTAGTCTGAACTTGGAGTGAGCTTAAGACATTTCATTGCTTAGACTGACTGAGTGAGTCATCATACAACTGGTTGTGTTTCACACAGTTGGGCGCATAGTTCATTGAACTAGTTCCACAGTTCACACTAATTGACTGACTGATCAACGTGCAATTCAATTCACATGCAATTAACATTTCACCTGCGAAAAGAGCAACAGCAACAGCAACAGCAACAACAACAACAACAACAACAACAACAACAACAATGGCAACAGCTATAGCTATACACACTAACAACACACCCTTTACGCCCCTTTGGCCACTCCCCCCCTTGCGACCCCATGTTCTGCTGCATTGTTTGTGGCCTTGCTGACCCGGCTGGCCGGTGTGCGAAGCTTTCGCTTTTTATTTGTGCTTCTCTAGCTCGATGAATGCTTTTTATCTGTAATTTGTTTAACTGACTGCCCAGTGCCCAACCCCCCCTCCCCCTATACCCTCCATCCCTGCCTGAATACTCACACACACACACACACGCACAACTTATTTTGGGCTTGTGCAAACAATTCGATAATTCGAAGCAACTGTTGCTGATGGCCAATTTGTAACAACAACAACAACAACAGCAGCCACAGCTGCCTCTAACTGTTATATTTTGATGGCTCATTATTATTGTTAGCATGATTAACATTATTATGACGTTTATTGTGTTTATTATGAATAATATGCGTTGATTTTTATTGCATTTACGAAAAACTCGAAAGAAAAACGTGGAAAAAGAAAAAACGTTGTTGCTGCGTCTTTTGTTTTCTACAAATTGCTCTTGTTGTCACTGCCCACTAGTGTGTGTGTGTGTGTGTGTGTGTGTGTGTGCCTGTTTATATATGTCTATATTTATATATAGTTATAGCTTTATATGCGGGGTATCACTTTCACTAGGCTGGCGCACGTAGAAAGCCAAACGAAAGCAAAGGCAACAAACGAAAACCAAACAAAAAGCTGACAACAAAACGTTGCACGTTGCGGCAGGTAACAACAGCAACAACAACAGCTAGCCCTATGAAGCACGTATATATGTATATATATGTAGATGTATTTATAAGTATGTATTGGTAGACATATATCTCTTCACAATTTCCATGCTTGGCTGACGCCTTGGCTCAACCTTTTTCCTAGCTCACATCGGGAAGCAGTTCACCGGCTCCAGCTTCAGTTCCAGTTCCAATTTCTTTGCGCTTTTTTGTTGTTGTTTTTCTCTTTTGTGTGTGTGTGTGTGTTCGGCTCGTTTGAGCGCACAGCGTGGGAGTTACAGTGAAGCCTGGCTGTGTAACTGAAACTGAAATTGAAAATTAATTCATGAACTTGATTTCTTAATTTTGTTGTTGCTTTTGCTCAGTTTCTCCCTCTCTCTTTCTCTCTGCCCCTCTTTCGCTGTATTTTCCGCTATATTTGGCTTTGTTTTGTTTCATGAATTTAAATTTAGCTGCACTGATTTGATTAGTGCCGCCAGCAACAAGCAACAAGCAACAAGCAACAGGCAACAGCAACAGACAACTTGCAACAGCAACATGCTGCATTGGGTAAGGGGCAGGCAAGGGGCAATAGGCAACCGTTATGATGAAATTGCTCGACATTGATTGTATAAGCAGCGGCTGTCCGCCACTTGCAACTGGCCATAACACGCCAGCAACAATTGCTGCTGCTGCGGCTGCGACTGCGGCTGCAGCTGCTTGGAAAGTTGCATTGGTCAAATGATGCTGCAGTTATTCGAGCATTTATGGCATGACTGAATGCCCAAGACTGTGCACAGTCCATAAAGCAAGCGCTGCCTAATGAGCTGCCAGCTGTGTGCAGCATGAAATGACATACACAGCAGCAACAGCAACTGCAACAACAGCAGCAACAACAACAACAACTGCTCAGAACTTCAGCTCACTGTCTGCATCGGTTGAATGATAATGTTTAGCTTGGAATTTGCAGTCGACACGACAGCAACATCTAACTGACTCACATATGGAGCAGCAGCAGTAACAGCAACAGCAACAGCAACAGCAACAACAGCAACAGCAACAACATCATGATCTATGGCCAGCGGTCAGCAACAATTCAAAGCCAAATGATGAACAGACGCCTCAGACGTCATGACATGCAAATGCGCCTGGGAACTAACTAAATTGAAAATATAATCACTGAATAGCAATAGCAATAGCAACAACAACAACACCAGCAACAATTGTTAGATATTTTGCATACATTACGTTGTTGGCAAATCTCACAGCTTTTAAGTTATTCAGGCTGGTTGCTGGCTGCTGCTTGCTAATGAAGTAAGAAAGGTTTTTATTTGTTAAAAACAGCAACAACAACAACAACAATAGCCATGCAATTTTAGCTTATAACACTTGATAAGACGCTAAGATTAATTGTCAGTCAGCATTAAAATTTACAATTTGCCAACAATAAAATTTGCTGAGATCAAAACTCTCTTGGACTTGTCGAACTACCACTTAAAAGCGTGGAATTCAAATGGAATTTATTACAATAATTTGGAAAAAATTTTTAATAGATATTAGAGATACCCTATATCTCTTATCAAAGGTCTTAGTAAATAAATGATTAGTATAAATTATTATTGGAACTCTCTTAGAATATTCATGCTGAATTTGAAGTGAAAATGAAACTCTTTAAAAATCCATTCAATTTCAGGTCCTTATTTAGTGCGAGTTTCAATAAGAAAAAACTTTCAAAGTTTAGCAAAAATGTGTTAAGATATTACAAGCTAAGCACTGACTATACTTTTAACTAACTAAAGCTACAGCTAAAGCTTCAGCTGAAACTATCGATTAACTGTTCTCATTGAACTTCTAAGACAGATGTGAAACTCAACTGATCGGAAAAACTCGAAATCAATTTCAATAAATACTTTATCACAGTACGGCATTCCCTCACAACAAGCCCAGTTGATCTCTCTTATTTTTACAGGGTATATTCAGCTTAGATCATTTCAATTCCACTCAAGTATCGTTCGATATGTGAATATGTTCAATGAAGTGAATCGAACACGAATATTTAATGTTTCTAATGTATGCAATCATAATTCGCTCCAGCCACGCCCACACAGCAGCCCTATTCATATGGTGTCTAACAGAGTACTGCACTGTTGGAAGCTTTCGCCTTGTGCTTGACAATTGTTGTTGTCACTGTTGTTGTTGTTGTTGTCACTGTTGTTGTTGTTGTCACTGTTGTTGTTGTTGTTGCAGCTATATTCTCACGCTTTGCATTGACAGCAATTGCAAGCGGACAGCAACGGCGAGCTGAGAATATTTTGCAATGCTGAATTGTTGGCATTTTTGAGGCGTTTCGCTAACGCCAGCGAGTCGGGCTACAAAATGCCCAACAACAACAGCAACAACAACAACAACAAGAACAGCCAAACTGGAACGAAACTTGCTTAATTGCCCAGCGCAAAGCCATTGGGGAGCTCTGGCCACAGTTAGCCAGTTTGCTTGGCCAGCTTGGCTAGCTTGGCTAGTTGGCCAGCTTGGGAATTTGACAGGTTGTTGGCCGACAAATGTCGACATCGTCGCATTTTATGAGTTACCCACAGCCAAGCTAAGCCCGTAGGATCTGCATTGGAAATGCATTTGAATGCCGAACACCTGTTGAAATAATATCCGCCATGAAATTAGCTTCGCACAACTTGGGTTTTTGTTTGAACGGCAACTGAAAAGTGTTAATTGATCTGCAGTTAAGACTTTATGCAGCTGAGCGGTCCAACGCGATGCAGTTTCCATTGAGCTGATTCTCATTTTGCATTTCAAATAACAAAGCTTGGTGAGGGTAGAGGCAGCTCTGCTGTGCTATTGTCTGAGATCGAAGTTTTCCTCGAAGATGGAATGTTAAATCATCCATGTGAAATATGCTTGAGCAGGCTAAGGTCTAGATTAGCTACTCAACTTGATGGGCTAACCTGAGGGTCAAGTTTAATGCCTGGCTTATCATATCAATCGCCCATCTAGATTAAAGATTTATATAAGAGGGATCTTATCTAGATGTGCTCTAGGCTGCCTGAAATGCTTGACCCTTGGGTCAATCAATCAATAATATCTGTTAAAGTTGAGCTTCCCTAAGTCTCCTCTATGATTCCCATAGTAATTTTAATATGAATTCCAATTTAAAATAAGGTTAAACCATCAACTAATCAGCTAAATCAAGAAATCAATCAGAGACCACTAAATGAAACTGTATAAAGACCGCAAGGCCCGAAGACCTTTTTGTTATTGATGAACTTTTAATATGCGAGCCGAAGTTCTCTTGCATAAATGAATATTAATGCTTAATCAAATATTATCAAAATATGCTTCAGCTTAACTAATATCCCCCTCTCTACCTATCTCTCTCCCTCTCTCTCTCTCTCTCTTTCTAGATGAAGGCTGCAGTTTTCCGGGCTCTCCGGCGCACAGCAGCGTTGTCTTCACGAACGCGAATCTAACGCAGGGCACCGTCGCCTCCTACAGCTGTGAGCGTGGCTTTGAGCTGTTGGGACCCGCCAGACGTGTCTGCGACAAGGGTCAATGGGTGCCAGAGGGTATACCGTTCTGTGGTAAGTACAGCTAGACTAACAGTTATCCTACAAAAACTCACGAAGCAACTCAAATAATATTGACTAGCGCTAAAAACTCTAAGACTAATGCAATAAGCCTTCAGCTCTAGGCTACAAATTTAAACTTTTTACCTAACAACAAGACAAGATAATCACTTACCCTATATTCAAGCATAAAGATCCATCAAACAACTAGCCAAGAGTAGACTGTATGATATTACCCCAAATACCTCTAACTTATTGATAATACGGATGCACAGTCGAGCATAGCCACGTATGCAAATAATACAGGGTATGCAGGAGTCTGCTACACGCTTACGTGACCCCACCCTCTAGGCCTTTTCAATTTTGTTAAAGGCTATTGTGAAGTGCCTGCTGTAAACAAAAGACTTAAGACACAAACTTGCCGCAGTCAATTGGCCCGTTGAGCATTTTGTAGCTTCAATTAGCACCTTCTGCTTCATCATCAACATCTTCTTCGACATCTTCAGCTTGGCTGACTGCCCAAAACGAAGGCACATGTGCTCTCCATATGTGCACACAACTTTCACCAACGACAACGACAACGACAACGTTCTCAATGATACACGCGCCATCGGAATTCCAATTTCCAAAAAACACTAAAAAAAAAAAAAAATACCGAAATCCAATTCCAAATGCAAAGTGAAACATGATTAACACGACGCACAATTTGGCCTGTATATGAGTGTGTGTGTGTATGTGTGTGCGCATGTGTGTGTTCTCGATGAAAGGCGGAACATACGGCAACAGCAACATGTCCGATCGAAATGCGAGTTGAACATTGAACGTAACGATTTGACCCACATTTTCAGTAGTTCGTTTGTTGATCTTTTTTCCCATTTTAACTCGTCTCAAACGACTCGAAAAATATGTATAGAAAAAAAACGAAATACAACAAAAATAATGTTCTAAGTGAATTAGACTAGACTGCAACTTCCGCCCGTTAGGCAAACAACGTGAAAATTGATTGACAGCAGCAACGGCTCACGCAAGTCGTGCTCGAATCGAAATTGAAATGGAATACAAAATAGAAATTTCAATTTAAGTCAAACTAGTTTCAAAAGTAGCTTAAGATCGATTAAATTTTGATCGAAACGAAAGCTGCAATTGAAATAAAGTTGAACTGAAATTGAATAAAAATTTAATTCAAATTCAAGTCTAGTGCAAATTGAATGAAATCTAAAAGCAGACTGTAAGAAAATTTTATGATGAAATATTAATGAAAATGGAATATTAATGGCGGAATAATTGTTTAGATTGACAAACTAGACTTATAAATTAAATTCAATTCAATTCAATTGAATAGAAATGTGATTTAATTGAATGACCATTAAATAAAAGATACAAAAAAAAATAAAAAAAAATAAAAACAAATAATAATATAAGCTTAACAGGAAATTTAAATTATGAAAATTAAATTGAAACTAAACGAATGTCGAATAGGTATGGAATTGAAACGGAAATCAAATTTAAAATTTATTGAAATTAAGTTTACATTGAATTGACTCTAAAAATTTCATTAACGCTTCATTTTAAAAATTGATCTATATTACTGTAGACTCACTAATTTAAGTGAGGTAAGAATTGAGTTCAATTTCAATGGAGCAATTGTCTGTCAGCCTTGGCCATTTCTATAGCTACTTAAGCAGCCCATCTGCTCCAAGCACGGGCTCTGACAAATGGTTCTTCACAAAGCATCGTTTAGCTACCGACGCCCACGCAACGTGAAACTAGTTTTTCATTTCCTCATGAATAGTTTACATAACTGTTTGGAGGCATATTTTTGGTCGTCGCTGGGCGAACCTGTTTGGCGTCGCGCTGCAGCTGAATGAAAAGCAAGGCAGGCAGATGATGCCGATGCCAGAGCTTAGAAGAACTAGGGGAAATTCTTTTGGATATCTGGATATATCTCAGCCACTAACATTCACATGTTTAGTCAAGCCAATATCAAGTTGTGCCTATCGATCATCAACTGAGTTGATTGCTAATAGAGGCGATTGGATTCGGTTTTCAGTGAGCTCAAAGTTCGATTTTGTCGGTATGTCAAATGTTGTCATTACGTTTCCCAGATTTGTAAGACTTGAGCGTTAACGGTTTTTTTTTTTTTTTTTCGTTACGTTTTGTTGACTTACGGCTGTCTCTGATTTTCGAGTGGTAAATTGCGCCCTGCAGACAAATTGGCGTTGCTTGCGGCAGCCGGCTGAATGATGGCAGCCCACAGCCGCCGGTACGAATCGTCGGTTTCATTGATTAATTGAACAATGGCTGGATTGAATGGGAATTGAAAGAGCATAGCGCCAAATTGAATGTGAGCGCAATGATTGGGAACCTGATGACACAGCAGGCGGTACTGCAAAACTCCAAAGCTAAGAGCCCAACATCAAATTGGAAATTGTGGTTAATTGAAAATTGAAATTGAAGCAGAAGTAGGGCGCACTTCTACAGGCATTTGTCACAGTTGGAAAGTGTTGAAAAGTGAGTTTAAAGTTGAAAGAGTAGCTGGAGAGGTTAAGTCTTTAAAATCGAACTAGGTCAAAGAATATACAAGTAAATTTAATTGAAGATTGCCGAAAAATCGAAGTGAAAATTAATTGAAATCAAATTAGTTCCAAATGTAAATTGAAATGTGAATTAGGCGTCGACTAGCACGATGAGTAAATTTAATTGAACTTAAATTGTTTACAAATTTGCAATTGAAATTGAATAAATATATAATTGAATCAGCAAATTCAAAACGAGTCTAAAAAAATCATAAAGAAATGAAATAAAATTCAATTTAAATTGATACTAAATTGAAATTGAAAGTCAATTAAAATGAAATTTTAAAAAATGCAAACTAATTGCGTGAGCCACAATAATTTTAAAAGTACTCAAATCACAATGAAATTGAAACGAAATAGTTCAACCAAATCGAATGCGTTTGTCAACAACAAACAACTCGCTTCAACTGGGCACTTAATTAACGCTGAAACTTGAACTTGAAGTTGAGGCTGAAGCTGAAGCTGACGCAGAAAATGGAGATAGAGATGGAAATGGAAATGGAAATGGAGCTGGAAGTGCCACCAAGAGCGGCACCTGCCAGCCAGATAAGCGTAGATAACTCGAAGCAGTTGCTGCTCACTGTAGAAAGTCTGTTGAAATAAAATACAAAATACAAAAAAAGAAAGAAAAAAATAACTACAGAAGATTTTTACGATCTGCGATCTGAGAGCGCGTCATGAGCCGCTGCCTGCCTAGCTGTGGAGCCAAGTGAGCCGGTGTGCCTTCTTTATCCGACAGATGCATCTGATTAATGAATCTCTCAATGCCGCCACACACACACTGACTCACACACACACACACACACACTCGCACACAGTGCGTAGCAATGTAATTAAGACCAGGCAACAACAATTACAACAAAAAGCAGTTGAAAGAAAAAGTTGGTAAAAAAAAGACCAAATTTCACTTTTGCTTAAATAAGTGTGATACCCTGTAACTAATTAAACCAACGGATAAACTGCATTTGAGCAGATGATTTAGCAAAGATTGAGGGCAGCCAAGCAGCGATAAGGAATATAGAAAGGGTAGCTCAATAGAAACGAGATTCACGCAACTTGATATATCTCTTCTTCTTTGATCATAAGAAAAGCCTATCGATATGCTCACATCTTTATACTATCGATAAGTAACGATTATCAAAGCAATGTTCTAGCAATGAGATATTATCGATGCATAAGTCAACCCACTAAATTTGATAGACAAAAGCCTATTTACCCCTACATCTTTCGGCTCTTGCGCCAAAGTCTATTCGATTCGATTCGAGGGTATTTTTATCGTTTGTTTATCTCTTACACACACACACAGGCAATTAGTTTTGGGCCTTGTAACACTCGCTGGGTTCTAACCACTAATTGGTTACTAGCCAGCTAGAAGGTCTGTCGAGTTTGTGACTTTAACTTGACAAATTTTGCAGTTAGAGAGAACTTTTTTATTCTTTTGGTTTTGTATAGGTCTTTGGCTTTTGTTGCCGTCCCGAAAGCGTGTCAGGGCCATGCACAGAGCTAGCCCTGGCCAAACTTCTATGGACCTTGTCTGGGTCTGGGAAATGACAACAATAAGACAAAAGGCTTTGATCTGAGTACCCAACGCACTCTTCGAAGAACCTATGAAATCTTAATTCGCCATCGCTTTAATCTCAACTATCTTGAACTGTTTCTCATCTCGTTAGTGCTAAACGTGGCCGCGGGCAAGGCGCCAATGCAGATATCAACAGAGGGCGCCGGTGCACCACAGAAGGCCATCGATGGCTCCACCTCCGCCTTCTTCACGCCGGAGACCTGTTCGCTAACGAAGCCGGAGCGCTCGCCCTGGTGGTATGTCAATCTGCTGGAGCCCTATATGGTGCAGCTGGTGCGTCTGGACTTTGGCAAATCCTGTTGCGGTAAGTTGTCTGCAAAAAAAAAAATAAAATTAAATAGATTTTACAGATGCGACATTACGACTGAAACAGTTAACGAGAGCTTTAAGCTTGTGCTAGAGACATATAGAAATTTAGGCTTAGGCAATCGAAATGTCATAGAATGATATCTAAATAAAGTTCTTAAGTGAATGGATAAATCTAATGGATCAATATATGATTAAAGCTTTTACTTGAAGTGTTTGCTGCATTTTAAGCATTTAGCTGAGCTTTTAGTTATAAGCTTTAATGTACTTTGGAAGCTTTTATATTTATGTTGAAGTAGCTGTAGAGTAAGAGATTATAATTATAGAAATATATTAATGGCTGATTGACATTGGGATTTTATAGCAGAAAGCTATGAAAGTAGATGAATCTATTTAATGAATGGTTGGTAAAGCCAAGCAACATATTATCAATCACTATATTTATTTGAGAGCTTAAAACATGCTCAAGACTTGAATGGGTTTTAAACCTATAAAGTAGAAGTGGCTTATAGAGCAATGAGAGTTGAGCTTAGAGTTGGAGTTGGGGCTATTAATGAAGAAACTTTCAACAAAGTAGAGCAGAGCGAAAAAAGAGTCAGACAACTGAGTAAGCTATATAGTTAAGCTGACTATATGAAAAGAAGAAAAACTATATGTATTTCATAGATAGATCATTCATCATGGTAGAAGTATATAATAGAGTAAGAAGTCCAGAAGTCTCAGCACTCTTTACAGAAGTAAAATGAGTTCCTTGGCAGAGAAGTATTATGTCTATTGCCACGATTAGCTCGATTAGAGTATTCTAATTTGAATTCAAGGCGAAATTGAATCAACTTCAAGTGGAGCACAGCCAGGCAGATTGAGTGCTCACTTAGCTGTCCGATTTCAGTTGGTTTTTTAGCCAAATGGCGAAGGCGAAGGCGAAGGCGAATGCGGCACGAAGTCGCCTGACGGGTTCGCAGGTTCCACAAAGGGTAGCCCCCAAAACCCACGGCTAAGGCAAACAACTGTCAGAGGTAGAAGAGATGGAAGCAGAGAGCGAGAGGGGGAGGGGCAGAAAGAGTGGCAGGGAGAAAGGGTAGACAAACAAGTCAGGCAAATGCTTTCACTTGGCTGCAACAAGTTGTGGCAGCCGCCGAGAAGACGAAGAAGAAGAAGACGAAAAAATGTGTTATGTGATTTTGCAATGGCTCAGTGGTGCAGCTGGCTGGCAGGGCCTGGCTGTGACGTAGGTAGGGGAGGGGAGAGAAGGGAGGTCGGTGGGGGAGGGGGGGGCCAAATGCAAGCCGAATATTTATGATTACTTTCACTGCGCACTGAACTTGGCTGACCCGCCACATGCTGTATGCCACATGCCGCATGCTGCATGCTGCATGCCACACACTTGCCCATCTGATTGTGTCTGCTGCTCTGCTCTCATTGCCACAGGCAACAAACCGGCTACGATTGTGGTGCGCGTTGGCAACAATCGTCCCGACCTGGGCACGAATCCCATATGCAATCGTTTCACCGGCCTCCTCGAGGCCGGCCAGCCGCTCTTCCTGCCCTGCAATCCGCCCATGCCGGGCGCCTTTGTCAGCGTGCATCTGGAGAACAACACACCGAATCCGCTGTCTATATGCGAGGCATTCGTCTACACGGATCAGGCGCTGCCCATCGAGCGCTGCCCCACGTTCCGGGATCAGCCGCCCGGCGCCCTGGCCTCGTACAACGGCAAGTGCTACATCTTCTACAATCGGCAGCCATTGAATTTCCTCGATGCGCTGTCCTTCTGTCGGTCGCGCGGCGGCACCCTGATCAGCGAGAGCAACCCAGCCCTGCAGGGCTTCATCAGCTGGGAGCTGTGGCGTCGCCATCGCAGCGACGTCAGCTCCCAGTACTGGATGGGCGCTGTGCGCGATGGCAGCGACCGCAGCAGCTGGAAGTGGGTCAACGGCGATGAGCTGACCGTCTCCTTCTGGAATCATCCGGGCGGCGACGAGGACTGCGCCCGCTTCGATGGCTCCAAGGGCTGGCTCTGGAGCGACACCAATTGCAACACTCTGCTCAATTTCATCTGCCAGCACCAGCCCAAGACCTGCGGCCGGCCCGAGCAGCCGCCCAACTCGACGATGATCGCCCTCAACGGCTACGAGGTGGGCGCCCAGATCAAATACAGCTGCGATCCGAACCACTTGCTGGTGGGACCGGCAACACGCACCTGCCTCGAAACGGGCTTCTACAACGAGTTTCCACCCGTCTGCAAATGTAAGTAGAGCCACACATCAGAATGGCCCTTCGCTGTCTGGTCGATCATGCCCGCCATACCCTAGACTCTAACACCGTTCACGTTGCAGACATTGAATGCGGTCTGCCCGCCAGCATTGCCCATGGCTCGTATGGACTGCTCAATGGCACCGTCGGCTACCTCAGCCTGGTGAAATATGCCTGCGACGAGGGCTACGAGATGATTGGACGCGCGCTGCTCACCTGCGACTTTGACGAGCGCTGGAACGGACCGCCGCCACGCTGCGAGAGTAAGGCTCATCTCTACCTCTACATCTGTGTCCCACTCACTCACTCTCTCTCTCTCTCTCTCTCTCTCTCTCAGTTGTCGAGTGTGATACGCTGCCGGGCAACTACTACAACACGATCATTAGCGCTCCGAACGGCACCTACTACGGCTCCAAGGCGGAGATCAGCTGCCCGCCTGGCTATCGCATGGAGGGACCGCGTGTGCTCAGCTGCTTGGCCACGGGCCAGTGGAGCAGCGCTTTGCCGCGTTGCATCAAACTGGAACCCTCCACGCTGGCCACGCCACCCGCACCGCCCTCGACGGCCTCGACGTCCTCGCTGCCGCCGTTTAGGCCCAAGATCACGGCCAGCACGAGTCGCACGCCCGCCTATCGGCCGCCCATCAGCACCAGCAGCAGCAGCAGCAGCGCCACGCCCAGCACAGTCGCCAGCTATCCACACAGCACGCCGCAGGTGGAGATCAATGGCGAAGGTGAGTGACAGCAGAGAACCAAAGAAAGAGAGAGATAGAGGTAGCATCATCTGTGCTTTTCCTCCCATTGCAGTCGATTCCGATGAGGACATTGTCAATGTGCCGGTGCCGGGTACTGTGCGCGAAGAGTTTCCGCCCCGGCGCACCATTCGACCCGTACTCATACCCAAGAAGCCCAGCAGCACGCCACCCACCAGCTACAGCACCAGCAGCTCCAGCTCGAGCAGCAGCAGCACCACCCAACATGCGCCTGGACCCGTGTCCACCTACGCCCCGACGCCGGCGCGTACTCGACCCACGCTGGAGACGACCACGCGGAATACGCAGCAAATCATCCTCAACTCGCATCCGCAGGACAATGAGATTGCCGACAGCGTCAACATTCGCCAGAATCAATCGCCCAATGTCAACGTTCCGTTTGCCGTCGACAATCCCGATCGCAAGGAGACCAAAGAGGCCAAGCTCAATCTTGGAGCGATTGTGGCTCTGGGTGCCTTTGGTGGCTTCGTTTTTCTGGCTGCTGTCATCACGACGATTGTCATCCTGGTCAGAAGGTGAGTGCCAAGACAGTCCATTGAAACTTGATTGAAATTCGAATTCGAGCAGAAAAAGCAGTCGAAATTGAAGGCGAAATTGAATAGATATTCAAGTTGAAGGCGGAAAGAAGACATTGAAGAGCAGAAACTAAAATACGAATTTTCATTTTGCAGCTCAAATTTTAAAGTCGAAATGGAAATTGAAAGCAGATATTGAATATAGATATTGAATGCAGAAATTGAATACAGATATTGAAAGCCGAAATAGGAGGCATAAATTGTAATGCAAATTGAGAGCAGATATTGAATATAGATATTGAAATTGAGAGCAGATATTTAATACAGAAATTGAATGAAGAAATTAAAAGCCAAAGCTGCATTTTAAAATTGAAATTGAAATTGAAATTGAGAGTAAATATTGATCATAGATAATGAATGCAGAATCGATAAGCATAAATTGAAAGTAGAAATTCAAATATTCACTTTTCAGTTAAAGAGAGAGTTGAAATTGAAATATAAATTGAATGAAAAGCTAAATATTAAAATAAAAACTAATTCAAATTTTAATTGAAATGAAAGTATGAAACAGCTTGAAATTCAACTTTTTGTAGATATTTCTGAAGAAATCTTGAGTCAATGAGAACAAGTTATATGAATATGAAAAGCTCAACTAACCTTAGCTTATTCCATATTATTTGACAGGTCTTACATAAGCAATAGAGAGGCTAATAGACTGCGCTTTGCTAAGATTTTAGATTAGTTTTATTAATATTTTAAGTTCCCTTTTAAAAAAAAAAAAAATTAAATAAGAAACACACAAAAATTGACACCAAACTATATACCCCATTTCCAACTGTATACCCTGTAATTGTAACTGCTTCCACTCCAGTGTTGTTCGCTCACAAACTCAAAATGCGATTTGTTGTTGTTGTCGTTGATGTTGATGTTGTTGTCTTCTCCACCTACTATAACTGGCCTTGCTCTCTCTCTCTCTCTATCTCTCACTCTGGCTGTCTGTCCCCTTTTCTCTCTCTATCATTCTCTATCTCATCCAGCTTTTAAGCTCTCCCTCTTTCCTGCACTCTCTTTCATTTGTATATCTCCCATTTTTGTACATATTCAAAGTGTAGAGCAGAGTTCCCTCTCTCACTCTCTCTCTCTCTCTCTCCTTCTATCTCTCTCTCTCTCTATTTTTCTGTCTCTCAGTCCAACGCACACTTGCACCACTCACACGCACACACATTCACACACACTCACTCACACACACACACATACATCGATACGCTTTCTCTTTCTTTTGTTGTACAACTCTCTTTTTTCGTTTTCGTTTTCGTTCTCTTCTGTCTCTTCGGCAAATATCATTCGTCAGCACCCCGAACAGCAAACGGCGCCACCTCGCCAAACATTTTACCAATTACAATCAACACAACCACCATCACCACCAGCGGCACCATCAGCTCCACCCGCATCATCAGCAGCAGTCGAGATCCCATCCGCACCACAAACGTCAACAACAGCCGCAGTCACAGTCGCAGTCGCAATCGCAGTCGCACCACCGTGCTGCACCACCCAATCGATTGCCCAGCTATGCGACAGCCACAGCCACCAGCGCCACCAGCTATGCCTCGACAGCGCAGCTGACGCGCTGCAGCAGCAAGGGTGGTGCAGGTGGTGCAGGTGGTGCCGGTGGCGGCCTGCTCGGCGGCTACCACATGCGACTCTTCGGCGATGGCTATGGCAGCATTAGCTCCAGCACGCGCTGCGAGGCGCCAGCATCGCTGTGGTACAGCGTCCTCGCGCTCCCCTTCGAGGACCAGAAGCTGGCGAGGCGGGAGCTGAGCACCTATGGGCGTGGCTATAGGGCGCGAGCGGGTCTCTTTAGCAGCAGTCACATGTGAAAGAGACAGAGCGACACAGAGAAAGAAAGAAACAACCTAAGAACAACGAGCGAGAGGGAACTAGCTCAAACCAAAGAAGTGAAATGATGAAATAGAAATGAAACGAAACGATGTGAAACGAAACGAAACGAAACGATGTGAAATGAAGCAACCAATACCGAAGACTACCTGCGAACGTAATGTGAACGTGTGCCAAAGACGAGCTACAATCAATCAAAGCAATTCAATCAAAGCAATTCAATCAATCAAATCAGTCAATCGAAACGAAACCGCAACACGGCCATATTAACACACAAATGTAAGCAGCCAACAACAAGAACAACAACAACACACATACTCTCCACACAATATACAAAACACGCTCAGTCAACAGGCTCAATCAATCAGTCAATCAACAATAGCAAACATGTTTGGAGCTTCGGAAATGAATGCTGTGAGGGCTGCCCGCTATCAGCCAATCATTAATCAATCAATCTATCAATCAATCAATCAATCAGTCAATCAAACTCAAGCTGTTGTCGGGCCACACCCACATATATACACACACACTCATACACACTCATACACTCGCCTGCACTTTCTCTCTCTCTCTCTCTCTCTCTCTGTCTCTGTCTCTGTCTCTTTCTATTTCTCTCTTCGGCTGTCTATCTCTCTCTTTCATACACTGCACGCACTTTCCGTCGTTCTCTTTCATCTCATTTGCATTGCTCACTTTGTTGTATGTTATTTGTATCTAATCTCCTGCACACTCTATTTCCCTCTCTCTCTATCTCACCTACTATCTCTCTGCCTCTCTCTCTCTCTTGCTCTGTCTTTGTGTGTTCTATTTTTCCTTGTCTGTTTTGTGTAACTAACACCCTTTAGTTGTGTTCCTCGTAGCGTCCTCTCGCACTTGTCGCTCTAACTCTGAACGTTAACTAATCAAAATATTTCTTCTCTTCTCTCGTTTTTTTTGTCTCTCGCTCTCTCTCTCTATCTCGCTCTCTTAGAAACCGCACCACACAGCATTATCGCCATCGCGCCTCACCCGACTGCAACACGGTCGCCAGCTTCGATAGCTCCACCTCCGGCTCCCGCAATGGCCTCAATAGGTTTGTTATTCAATCAAACCCACTCGAAATGCTCACCGCTAAAGCGTTTGCCATCTCTCTCCCTCTCTAGATACTATCGCCAGGCGTGGGAAAACCTGCACGAGTCCGCCTCAAAGAACAGCTCACACAATGCGCTGCGCCGCAAGGAGACGCTCGATCCGCCCAGCATGACGCGCTCTCGCGACAATTTGCGTGACAATATGCAACGCTCCCGCGAGAATCTGGATAGGTGAGTAGACTAACCAGAGCATGACAGGTGGCTAAACTGTCAAGACAGCTTATGCTCAGTGCTCTGGATGTGAGCGTTATAGAAGTACTTGCTAAAGTGCATATTAAATTTAAATTGAGGAAGATCTGTCAAAATGCAAAAAAGTATATGTCAAAGTACTTGCTAAAGTGCATGTTAAATTTAAATTGAGGAAGATAGATGATTATATATTTAACTATCTGTCAAAATGCAAAAAATTATATGCAAAGTACTTGCTAAAGCTCATGTTAAATTTAAATTCAAGCAGGTAGATGATATAAAGCTCTCCTACTGGTTTAACTATCTGTCAAAATTATTTTCTAAGTGAATTTTTTCCAAAGTATGTGTCAAGACGCTTACTAAAGCTCATGTTAAATTCAAAATCGAGCAGATAGATGCTATAATGCTTTACTACATGTTTAACTGCCTGTCATATTGCTATTCACACTACTACCTGTTCTTCCTGCACATCCTGTACTACCTCTAACTGCAGATTTAATGTGAATTCCAAAACTATCTATATTAAATTCAAAATGATCAGTTTAACGGCATATTAAATATATTATATTATATTATTCTACATATTAAACTTCATATTAAAATATATGTTAAAGTACATGCTAAGCTTTCAGTCAAGAACTAAATAATACTATCTAAAATAAACATTGACAGACTGGCAAATACCTAATCTGAATGTCAAACTGTATGTCAAAGTGCATGTTAAGCTCAAGGCTACGATTCACACTCATTCACAAAAACTAAAAACTAAATATGTATAACTTATCATTGACAGATGCGGCCGGGACAACTACGGCATGCGCGACAACTCGGAGATGGTCGTCTCGGATGTGTGCCTGAAGGGCGAGAAGAAGCGCCATCATCACCATCATCACAAGAGCAGCTCACGCAACGGCGACTATCGCGATAGGGATCAGTCCGCCGGGCGGCGCGAGCACCACAGGCACAGCGGCGGGGGCGGTGCCGGCGGTGGTGGCGGACACTATTGACCAACCATGATCATCACCATCAGCGTGGAGGAGCAATAGAAGCGATCGCAACTATCGAAGCTATCGTAGCAATCGCAATAATCGAAGCGAACGGAGCCTGAACAAATTTCTATTAATATAACTCATTTTTTTTTTTTTTTGCTTGCAATTTTCTGTCGGATTTCGAATTGAGCTTTAGATTGTAGTTCAAAACTTTCTGTTTATAGCAAAAAAAGAAAAAAACAAAAAAAAACAAAAAAAGGAAAAAGAAGAAAAGCAGAAGTGGGAGATGCATATTAGAGCCTAAGGAATTCTTGAAACTTTTGCAAAAGTCAATAGCTACTATATATATACATATTTATATCTATATATATATATATATGTACTCGAATATCCCTATATATAATCATAACTAGTTTTCGATTGAGTCCCCCCCTCGTTTTTAGTTAAAATTTTTTATGAATTAGTTGATAAAAAGAAACAGAAGAAGCGAAGGTACATGAAGGCGAGGCGAGACGTGGCGCGGTTTTTTATATAACTTAGTATTTAGTTGAAGAGCAGAGTAAGAAGAAGCACCGTAAATAATATACCGAATTCAACCGATCCTTAGACCACAGCAGGAATTATGTGCAACTTGGTTTAGCCTAAGGCGCGAAAGCAATTAGGCCAAATCGACTTGCGCATAGTCGCAACTTCTTACTTAGTTACGTAGCATACCCTATATAGATGCATATCCTATAAAACCCCAACCATAGCTCACAAATCACAAGATGAATAAATAATATTGTAGTACGCGTGCCATTGAAGGCAAGAAAAGCAAACGACAAAAAATATACCACTAAAAGATATTCAAAATCAATTTACATTTATCTCTGCACTTAGTTCCATTTTACACGCACACACATACATTTTCTTTATATAGTTTACTTTTTTCATATATGTAATTAACGTGTTTTGTTTTGAGTGTGTAAATCTTTTTTTTTTTTTTTTGGATTAGGCGAAAGATTTGTATTTTTTTATATATATATTGAATGCAAAAAGCCGCTGAGTATGCAATATTATTTGTATTTCGTGCATTATTTCCAATGTAAATAATAATAATTTATTTCATAAATAAAACAATGATCATTTTAACTAAATTGTCTGCTTGTTTGATTTCTTTTTTTTTTTTAATTTTGAATTGCGCGCCAGAAGCCATTTATCGACAAACAAGCAAATGCAAATTTGAATTGTGCGGGAAATAACACGCCACCTATTGTCCAGGAACTCAAAAATGCGTTCTGTGCTCCAACTAGACTACGCGCACTCATGCGTGCGCACTATCGATAAAAAAAAATATATGGCCGATAGGTGCCGCTCTCACGCTTGCAACCCTGTCAGCACGCCATGTTTATGCGACAGCTGCTGTCAAATTGACATTCGCTTGATTCGCCTCTCTTTCGCTCTTTCTTCTACGAGCGTTCGCCACACAAGATGGTGCGTCAACGAAAATTTATCCACGTTCAAAGCCAAAATAAAATCGTCAATTTCTTTATGCATCCGCGGATATTTTTTAATGAAACCCAAATACATATTTGGTGCAAAATTCGCTTCAAGTGTTTCTATTGAAATTGACGAATTGGCTCAATTACTAATAAAGTGCTGCAACATATTAATTCAACTCCTCTTTGTTTACAGACGAAAGGTACCTCGAGTTTTGGTAAACGCCACAATAAGACGCACACCCTGTGCCGTCGTTGTGGCCGATCCTCCTACCACATCCAGAAATCCACTTGCGCCCAATGTGGCTACCCCGCAGCCAAGTTGCGTTCATGTAAGTCGCACCCGCATCCCAACTCCCCCCACTCTCATATGCCAATACTAATTATGTGTTCATCTTATTAGACAACTGGTCCGTGAAGGCCAAGAGGAGGAAGACCACTGGCACCGGCCGCATGAGCTATCTGAAGGTTGTGCGTCGTCGTTTCCGCAACGGATTCCGCGAAGGCACCCAGGCTAAGCCCAAGAAGGCGCAGTCCGGCAAATAAGGGCAAAGCTAATTGGGCTAGCCGCAAACGCTCTATATAACTACAACAAATTAGCAGCAGCAGCAGCAGCAACAGCAAGAGCAAACAAAATTCTTACTCCAATCATCGGTTGGAGTTAATAAATTTACTTTTTTTTCATTAAGTGAACAAATAGATGTGCTTATTTTTTTCTGTGGATTTGTGTAAAAAAAATGAAATATATCAGGCTCAAAAGGCGCCACAACAACAAGTGAAAACAGCTAAAGACTATAGAAATGTGCTAATTTTATTTGATTAGTTTTTTTTTTTGTTTATATCGATTTGTTTTTTTATTGTGCTTTTTTTTGTACTGTGAACTGCAATTGCACTGTTGTTGCGGCACCCTTTTTTTACCATGCTACGTTTTAAGGGGGCGCAACCTTCTCTGGTTTACAGCTGCACTGGATTAGCAGTCAGAGCTTAAGAGCATGCAAGTTGTGACACGTTAAATAGGAAAACATTTGGGCTGCCTTCCCTAACTGTTGCTATGCCTGGAATGATCCAATTGGAGGCATAAACACATTGCGGCAAACTCTGCTTAAATGTATGTGTGAGCATGTTGTGGAAAGCGATGATGTTGCTTTCTCGCTCGCACTGCTTTAGTGCTTGGATTGCCTCGATTCACTAGGATAACGCCGACGAGTGTTAGAGGAGTGCAGAACGAGCTTTGACAGCATTTACTATAATTCAGTTGGTGCCTTTGCATTCTGATTCGTTGACAATACCCAGTTGGACAATTGCCACCCGATTTAATGGTTCCCTGGTATTTACATTGTAATAAGAGTTTGCCTAAATGGGCAAATCAAACTTACCATAAAAATGTTATCTATTTAGTGAGCTGTATGCCAATATGATGAGAGCAGATAGACGATATAATAATAGGCTGTTTTCTAATACTATATTTTATCAAATAATATATATATTTGAGTGTTATACATTTTTATTCTGTCTAACTACCTATAAACGTTCATGTTTCGATGTAGGTTACTATAATGTATAACTCATGTTTATATCGTAATTCCAATTTGATTATAGACGTGTTGCGTACGGTTTAGTTTTCTAGCTAACGTACGAGGCTAGATCTTTTATTATTTGCCGAGCTCCAGGTTTGTTTTTGGTAGGAACATTGTGATCTCGTTCTATATCCCTGATTTTCATGTACCAATATAACCCAGTGATCTTCCTCAGGCTTTTTACTTGTAGCACACGCAATTTGTTCAAGTGGGTCTTGGCAGCAATACGAAACATTTGGATGAATTCATATAGTATCAGCTTGTTTGTTCAATTTGGAATTGTGACATAGCCTCAAGCTGAATTTCTAGATCTCATTTGATTGTTTTCTTGTTGTATTTATATGCAAGTTCAATGTTATTATTATTTTCAGTTCGAATGCTATGGAAAACTTTTGTATTATATGAGGTGTAATTACCAATATAATATGAAGCTGTGGGCAGTTTATGCTAATATCCATTCGCTTGAACCACCCCTCTGATAACGAATGTGCCTTGGTTCCGAGACAATAATAGCAGATTCAGGATCAGCATAGATAGAAATAGTAGCTCCGCTGTACAAAGAATAGGGTTGATACTTTTATGTATATGCATCGTTGCTTCTCAGGTAGCACCAAAAGCTGTTTTGCCATATAAGAAAGAAAACCTTCAGCTTTACTTGAGAAATAAAGCAAATAAACGACTGCTTGCAAGCAGTGCAAAGTAATATGTGTATATATGTGCGTAAATATCGGACGGCAATTTATAAAATTCGCCCAAAAGTAGACTCCATTGAAAAAATCTCTCGCTTATAGTTAAAAGTACAGTATAAGTACGTGCTGCACGATTTTATTAGAGTAGGAGAAACAAAAAAAGTAAAAATTAAAGTACAATTAAAATAAAGCGCTTTCGACCTGGCTTACAATTAGGTATATCGTACATATATATATATATAGAGACTTTATAGCAAAAGCAGGATGATGGTAAAACAATAAAAAGCAGCGATCGGTTAATTTATGACTATGAAAAAAAAGAATAACAATCTATTGCTATCTCTCTCGTTCTCTCTCTTTTCGGAATGACTAAAAGTACAATTTACAACGTATAAAGCGTTTCACTATGACTAAGGGTAGGGTATTCGGGCAGTGGGTGTATGCGTACAGGAATGGGCGGTAGGGTGTACGGGCGTCGGCTTAGGCGAATTAAATACATTGCGACTAAATGCTAAGACAAATTTACAAAATACAAACACACGCAGATCGATTAGCTGGCTAATCGGCATGCGGATGCGGATGCGAATGCGAATGCGGATCTGTTGTTGGACGCTCCTGCGATTGTGGGGTATCCGTTAGCTGGGAGGCAGTGCTGGACGTCGTCGCCGGCGCCTTCGACTTGATCGCCGGGCTGCTTGATGGGCGCTTGATGAGCAGCTTCTTGAGATTCTGGAAGGGCGCATCGAAGAGCACCGTTAGCGCTACGGAGGCCAGAAAGATCGAGATAAATTCGTTGGTATCGAGCTGGAAGCATGGAAAAAGAGGAAGAGGTTAGTGACTTTCTGATTTTGAGTAGAGAATTGAGTTCAACTAAAAAAATAAATCGATATAGCATATACTCACAATAATCGAGACAAAGTTGTAATAGTGATGTATGTGACGCCTTCGTCCGACGTTGAAGAAGAAGACGGGGAATTGCGTGAGGTAAATGGCGTAGGACAGCTTCGTGGATACCTGAAAGCCGCGCCAGCTGAACAGTCTGGTTAGTTTATCTGTAATACGAGAGGCAGGGTATTGTTTAGTCGAGCAATGTGAGGTGGCTGCATGTCAATTCACTCACTCTTGTAGCCATTGTGTGAGACGAAGACGATCCAGGAGAAGAACAGGCACCAGGCAATCGGCGCAAAGGCTGCATAGATCGCCGCATGGGTCGAGTTGTAGACGTAGCTAATATGCCCCATCGGAGCGGGTCCCAACAGGGAGGCGAGCACACAGACGGTCGCTGCCAGCCAGCCCAGGCGCAACTGCAAACGACTCAGCTGGACGCCTTGGTACTTGCGCAGCGCATAGCCCAGCAGGATGCCCATGATGTAGACCGTCGAGCGGTGCGGGGGGAACGAGTACATGTAGTCCGCGGTACGGAACAGACGCTGAATGCTGACGTAGGCAAAGAGAGAAATGGACAGAGAGGGAGAGAGAGAGAGAGAGAGAGAGAAATCAATATATATAGAGCATAGGAAGGGAAATGATTAGCAATATATATAGGGTTAACCGTTACTCACTTGGTGCCAAAGTATATGTAGTTGGAGAGCTGATTCACAATGGTCGTATAGTAACGTGCCGCCGTGCCTATCGTGCAGAGGAACAGCAGGGCGAGCAGGCCGCGACGTGGCCAGCGCCAGAGCACGAAGATGAAGAGCGGCGCCACGGCGAACAGTTCCGTATCGATGCCCAGATGGTGGGTGTGGGTGAGACACATCTCGCTGAAGCCGAAGTAGTTGTGGATGAAGAGCAGGTTGCGCCACCAATGCTGCTTGCAAATGTCCGCATGGTGCCCCACCACCAGATTCCACTGCGGCCCGGAGCCCCACAGGGGCAGGACGTAGGTGCAGAAGAGTATCAAAGCAGCCAGAGGCGGTACGATGCTGGAGAGGTAACAGAATTACAATAATATGAAAATAAGCATGAGTAGTCGACTAGCAAACACCCTGCCATGCTGAGTACTTGTAATACCCTGTAAATCTTGTCTGCCCAACTTACCGCATCAGGCGACTGATGTACTCGTTCTTCAAGCGTATCGGCTGCTGCTTCATCAGTCGTCCGAACAGCGAATACGACGTCAACATGCCGCTGAAGAGTAGGAACGGGTCCGTGTAGAGGGAGGCGGCACGTCCAATGACCGTCCAGGGCTGGCCCAGGCTCTCCGACATGGCCGT